GGAGTCACCGTCCCTGGATGTGTTTAAGGGACATTTAGATGCGGTACTGAGGGATATGGTGTAGGGGAGGACTTTGTAGAGTAGGGGAGATGGTTGGACTCGATGATCCCAAGGGTCTCTTCCAACCTCAATGATTCTATGATTGGGTACCTAGGTCCCCACCAACCTCTATTTTCTCAGGAGGTGTTGCATTAATCCTTTAAACATTGAGTCTTTTAGTCAAATGCAAACCGAAAATTGCGCTCTTGCTCCTTGCGTCGGCTCTCACAGACCTTTGTCACCTCTTCTACCTTTCTCTGCAACACGGCTGTGGGAGAAACAAGGCATTAGGCTTACAACCATCCACAAACACAACCCTGCACAGGTTAGCCTGCAGAAGGAGAAAAAAAAGCATTTGACTTTTGACAGTCATTGAGATTTGACAATGCACAAAGGAGGAAAACCCAACAGAAAGCGCTGCTAACCCTCCAAGACAAAGAAGATTGGCTAAGAAGTACTTTGAGGCATTCAGGGCCCACCAGGCAGAAGGCTGTTGACACTTTCTGCCATACCAGTTTGTTGCAGTTTCAGGGCACAGCATCAGAGAGCAGAGCAAGGCATCCACCAACAGAAGCTGCAGGTCCCCAGCTTGAGGAAAAGCTATTGCTCTAGAAATCAGTTTCCCCTACCCATCTCCTGCTGAACTCGCTTCAAGTTACACAAATTACAGGGCAACCACACAATCTGCTAGAAGTATAGACATATTTTCTTGCTGGATATCACAACTTAAGCCACCAATTTATAATCAACTTGATATGCAGCAGGCAGTGAAATATACAAAAAAAATCTTGGCACGAGCTAAAGCAACTTCTAGTTTCATTCCACGAAAGCTTATCAGAAGCTATTCTACAGGGCTATGGCATTATGTCAGCCTGTGGCTTCCAGATGGATATTCCAGGTTGGGGTGTATTTTGTACAGCATGCTAAATCCAGAATCTTCCAGTAACATTAGGGAACACACAGCAATTCACCACTTTTCAGAAATTCACCATGCAAAAATGCCTATGGCATAAAATGGCAGTTTGCCTCACAGATCTCTCTCTCTCCCAACTTGGAATTCCATTGTAACAACAGAAGAGAAGACTTTCTGGCTCCCTCAGGATGAGACAGAAGGTTAAAACAAGGCTTTGTCCAAACACCCCTTTTCCTTATGGAAGCAGCAGTGCCCTATGGCCATGTTCAGCCAGTTCATTTAACTGTGGCAGGTTAACAGCGAGTTGAATCAAGTGCCACAGTTGCACAGAATTGACCTAGGAAAGATCACGTGGCAATTTGTTTCCAAAGGAAAAAAAACCCTGACAACGTCACCTACAGCACAAATAGATGTCCCAGTTCTGGCTTGTGGGGCATTGGTGGTTTTTTTAATTAAAAAAGAAGTGCTAAGGAATGTGTCTCCTTCCTAGGACAACTCCATTGCAAGGGCTACATGAAGGCTTAATTGCATCGTTTTTCTACCACACCACGGAAATGAACACACCGAGACAGTTTCTTTGGTACTGAATGGCAGAAATAAAAATAGGTCTCCCTTCTAGGAAAATTTAAAGGAAACAGGTTGCTGTTTTCACACAGATTCTGTAAAGTCAGAATTCTGATGCCACAGGAGCTGCACCACATGTCCCAAGAAAGGCAAGGATGGAATGCAGACATAAGCACATATGTTTTGAGAAAAAAAAGCCAAATTAAACCCTGACCTAAGCCAAGAACATAATTTCAACATGGACAGTGGTATTTCTGGTTTCACCCAGGCAGTTCACCAGCTGTGAGCACCTTCACAGCGCTGCAGCCAGACAGTGCAGTTTGGTGCTGTGAGAGCAGCACTGCTTTATTCTGCCGTGCCCCCGTGTGGCTGCTGACATCAGTTCAAATCAAACCCGGGTAGAATTCTTGAGTCCCTCACAAGGAGGCACCCCTGTGGAGAAAAGTTCCTTTTTTCTGTTTGTTTTTAGGCTGTCCACTCTGAAGTTTCCACACTATTACTCCAGAGTTGCTGCGCCTGCAGATAAACACATGTGGTCCAATCTTACCTGTATTTGGGGTTCCCTTTGCAGGGGAGAGGATGATATCATTACAGACACAGCCCTCCTCAACAGTTTTCCTATTCCAAAGGGAAACCCCACAACATTTCAGAAGCTGCAGTATTTAACCATAGTTTGACAGAACAAAGCACAAGCTTTTCAAGTCCTCTGCTTTGCACTGAGGCATTTCAAGCAGCGCTTTCTGTAAAACATTGGCAGTTGCCAGGAATCACTTCTCAGCAGAGGCCTTTCATGCACATCAGCAGAATTCAAGAGCACAGAATTCAAGGGACAGTGCCATTGAAGGTGAGGAGGAGAAGATTCCTCAGGGATCTTCAGGAATTCATTGATGTTCAAGAAACACTTGCCCACACGCTACACGGTTCCTATTTACATTCCCAAAAAGCTGCAAGACAACTCTCACCTGAGTTCTGGTCAATCCACTGCAACGAATCCATGTGGGCATTCAAAATTTTACAGATCTGCTGAAGCTGAGCAGAAAGAGAAGGTGCAAGTCAGTTTTTAGGTAGTGTAACAAATCAGAGTAAGAGAGCTGCAAAAAAACCCACTCAGTCTGCAATGGGGAAGGGAAATTTTTACTTAAAAAAAATCTTCTCAGTAAAGCTGCAAGGAGCATCAAGATCAATTTAACACATATCAGAAAGAGCTGGTAATTGAGATCTTTTCAGGAGGATAGAAAAGAACATAAGGAAAAAGTAATAGTATCTACAGAGCTAATAATACCCTTCTGAGATTGTAACTAGAAGCAGTAGAATACCCAAGAGTGGACAAACACAGACAGATCTGTTTAAACATCCTTTGTCTCTTACTAAGAAACAAAAAATAAAGCTTGGATTTACCGGGTCACTCGTGTCTGCTGGGCCTCCTGATGTATTCAGGTGCTCAATGATGTCCTTCAGGTCTTGTGCCATTCGCTTCAACTGAGCATCTATGTTTTCAGCCAGTTTATAGCTGCCAAACACATGGGAACCCAGGTTTAAAGTGAACTTCATACTTCAAGTGTACTTCAGAAGACCCGCTCCCAGTCACACCACCTTTGGGCAATCAGAATTTCATTCCATGCCTTTCAACCAAGGCTGGCAAGTACATGGGAGCAGCACCAGGGAGACATTCTACCACACAGATGAAGTAACTCCTACCCTCCTCCTCTCTCAAGAAATATAAGCAATAATGCAGAGGAATTTCTGGAAGGCTTTGTCAGAATTGAAGGAACCAGCCAGAGCAGGATCTTCAGGACTGATATCTCTTGAACCAGACAAACACTTCTCTTTATAACCCTGCTAGGATTCAACACTTAAGGCTTACAAGAATGCTTCAAGCACACATCAGGCATTATGTTCTCATCACTTCTGTCACTAAATAATCACTCATTGTCAGAGATTATGCCAAAATTAGCAACTTTTCCCAGACAGCTAAGTAGACCAACACCCAAAGAGCTTTTCATGCTGATTCCAGTCACATTCCCCCTGTTTCTAATGCATAAAGTCTAAGTTGCCTGGAATAAAACAGGATTACATATTTGACAAAAGCCATTGATGCACCCCAACTCTACTTCATGCTCATCAACCACCACCACACGAGCCTCCTCATCACATGGTCCAAGCACACTGGGGTCTTACGTCCTCTCCCGTTCTTCATCTGCGTGCTGCAAGTAGATTGTCCCGCTCTGTTCCTTCACAGACTCCTCCAGAGGGGTCAGCAAGTCTTCCAGCTCTTTCTGCTGTGACAGGATGAAGTCCAGCTCCTGATCCAGTCTGAAAAGAGAAAGTGTCAATGACTCCACTGAGAGGTTACAGACACTCTACACCTGCCACACCACAAGGTGGGAAGATGCAAGAGAAACAAAATCATCTCAAGTCTTTATAGTTTCGTACCTCTTCTGATCAAGCTTCACTTTCTCTACTTCTCTGTGTAAGGAGGTAATCTGGAAACAGAAGACACTTAATTATTCTATGAAAATCCAAAAGTCAACCCATAAAAGAAGAGTAGTGGAACGTAGAAAGCCAACACTATACATATGGTTGCTGTTTCTACAAGAAACAGTTACATGAAGATTTACAGACCCAAAACTGAGTAAGGGAGGTTTGACTTGGAAAGCTCCACCCAAAGATAACTTATGATACAGTAAACTGTCATAAGCACTAAGATGTAATTCAAATTTTTTTTTTTACATGTTAGAAGTCCCACTAGATGGCTTCCTCCATCTGTAGCACTTAAGATCCTGAAGGATCTAAAGCACGATCAGGTTACAGCAGATGTCACCTTACCTTCTCCCCATTCTCTATTAGCATCCGATCCCAGGCATTAACTTGTGTCGCTTGATGGAGGAAATGCTTCTCTTGGTCCTCCAGTTCCAGACTCCACTTGTTTATCAAACTCTCCAGCTGGGCATAAGTCATCACTGGAGGTGCACTGAGAGAAAGGCCAAGACAGTACAGAACAGGAGATCAAAAACCAAAATATAAACATGACAACACTCCTTTTCCCTTGCTCCACCAGACATCAGCACTGATACTGCCTCTTGCCCCAGCCAGAAAACAGTCTGTTATAACAGAATGCTCACCTGGTGGTTGTTGTGGTGGTTATGGCAGCTGTAGAAGTCCCAGCTCCAATGGCACCAGTTGTAGTTAATGGCTTAAGATTCAAGGCAAAGCCAGAAGCAGCAGTAGTGCCTGAAAAAAGGATGTTCCATCCTGAATCCAAACACTGTGCAGCAGCCAATTCAACTGCAACCTTTCACACGAGAACAGCCAACAGATACAACACTAATCTCTGCATTAGTTGTATTGTAAGGAGTTAATGAAATCATGTACTTTGAAACTTACAGTATGCAAGAAACAGATTAATGGGGCAGAACTGAAACAGAAGTCATCTCTCCCTAACACTCCCTGTAGGTCTTTGGCCTCTCACTCCTCCCATTGAGACACCTCTCCCTCCCCACTTAGGGCAATTCTGCACCTACACAGGCAGGTTAGAGAAGGAGCAGCCAATCTATTTACATTACTTGCTCCAGACTAGAACATCAAAGCCTACAGGCCTTCCTTCACCCAAACTCCCTTTGCTGTCAACAGGGTCTCAGAAGTGCTATCCATGCATTTGGGGAGATAGAAAATGAAGATCTGGTTCTTACTTGTGGCAGTGCTTGTTGTGGCAGCTGTTGTTCCAGGAATTTTTATCCCAAACCCAGGCGTCCCAAGAGTGGCCGTCCCAGTGGAAGGGACACCAACTGTAAACAGAAAACATTAAGAGTTTGTGTAACCCATTATATAGAGTCCCCATTAAAAGCATTCTTAAACACAAAGATTAGAATCAGCTTTGGAACTAGTGTGGCAATGCAAGCATTGTAGAGCTACCAAAAAACAAAGTTGTTAGGCTGGTATCTATGGCATCTACAAATTGCAGCTGATTAGTTAAAAGTAATCAGTGCAGCTTTAACATAAAACTTGTTATGCTGTCTAAGTTTTCAGAGATAGAAGACAGCATTACCTGTGAAATAGTTACATCAACTCTGGTAAACATTGACATTTACCATACCTATGTCATCTCCACAATCAAAGGGAACTGAAGCATTAAAATCTCATTTCATCTGTTCGGACTGTCTTCAAACCTGGGCTACTGCCTTAAAACTGTCAGAAAACAAGCACTATTTCTTACCAAAAAAAATAGTTTTGCACGAGCAAACTTGGCAGTTATTACCACAGGAACTTGCAAGCAGGGGGCTAAAAACAAGTATTCATGCAGCCTGAGGCATCTCCACTGTCACAGGCCACTGCTCTTAAAGAATAGACAACACCTATTGCAAGGGGCAGACATAAGCAGACTCAAGGCACTGGGATCTGGATGACAGCAGCTTAAACCTCACCACAGACCTCAGCTGTGGAAGTTCTACCCAGAGTTAGAAATAAAAATATTCACATACAGCTAGAACTGTCCAAGGCTGCTGCCCACCCTGAGTCTGAAGAGTGCTTCGGTTTGGACAAAACCCTCCGTTGGGCTACTGCCTTAAAACTGTCAGAAAACAGGCACTATTTCTTACCAAAAAAATAGTTTTGCATGAGTAAACTTGGCAGTTATTACCACAGGAACTTGCAAGCAGGGTGCTAAAAACAAGTATTCATGCAGCCTGAGGCATCTCCACTGTCACAGGCCACTGCTCTTAAAAAAGTGACAACACCTATTGCAAGGGGCAGACATAAGCAGACTCAAGGCACTGGGATCTGGACAACAGCAGCTTAAACCTCACCAGAGACCTCAGCTGTGGAAGTTCTACCCAGAGTTAGAAATAAAAATATTCACATACAGCTTAAACTGTCCCAGGCTGCTGCCCACCCTGAGTCTGAAGTGTGCTTTGGTTTGGACAAAACCCTCCATGCCTCACCATTGAGGACAGCGTGGCAAAAATCACAGAGAGGGAAGGTGGCAAACAGCAACAAGAGCTGGCCTTTCTGAACTCTCCCCAGTCAGCCCAGCAGCTCCACTGCTGACAGGGAGCACCAACCACACTCCTCATTTCTTCCCCCCAGCAGAGAAAATCCACCTGGTGTGACTTACGTGAGAGGCCCGTGGTGGTAGATGATGTGGGTGCTGAGGAACTCACTATAGACGCAAACAACGTAGGCCCCGTTGAGCCAAGAATGGAGGTTGTGGTGGTAGCAGCAGTTGTAGCAGCTGTGGATGTTACTACAAACAGAAAAAGCATCCATCTTGTACAATCATGCTGAGAATGCGACACAAATATGCCCACTTACACCAGTTTCTTATGAATGTAAGAATTTTAAATTTTTTTGTGCCTCACCATTGAGGACAGCGTGGCAAAAGAGCTGGCCTTTCTGAACTCTCCCTGATCAGCCCAGCAGCTCCACTGCTGACAGGGAGCACCAACCACACTCCTCATTTCTTCCCCCCAGCAGAGAAAATCCACCTGGTGTGACTTACGTGAGAGGCCCGTGGTGGTAGATGATGTGGGTGCTGAGGAACTCACTATAGACGCAAACAACGTAGGCCCCGTTGAGCCAAGAATGGAGGTTGTGGTGGTAGCAGCAGTTGTAGCAGCTGTGGATGTTACTACAAACAGAAAAAGCATCCATCTTGTACAATCATGCTGAGAATGCGACACAAATATACCCACTTACACCAGTTTCTTACGAATGTAAGAATTTTTAAACTTTCTTTTGTTTCCCCTGTATTTTACATCAATCTCTTTTCCACTCTACCCTTTGAACCTCTGGCTTCTTTCCACTATGCTCCAACAAGCACAGAATGGAATTCAGCACATGAAATGCAACAAAAAATACAGGATACTAGGTTGATTGGCTGCATGAACCATCTACGATGACTGATGCCATTGCAAATTCACAGTAACAAATGCTTCCAGCCCATTTTCAGAAGCCAGGTTAGAAAACTCTTCCCAGAAGGAAAGCAGATTCACAAAGGCTGGAGTAATCTTGACTTCCGTAAAAATCACTTCCTACCTCCAATTTTGGTCCTCTGGCTTCTTTCCACTACACTCCATCAACAAGCACAGAATGGAATTCAGCACACAGGACACAACAAAAAAAGTACAGGATACTAGGTTGATTGGCTGCATGAACCATCTACGATGACTGATGCCATTGCAAATTCACAGTAACAAACGCTTCCAGCCCATTTTCAGAAGCCAGGTTAGAAAACTCTTCCCGGAAGGAAAGCAGATTCACAAAGGCTGGAGTAATCTTGACTTTCGTAAAAATCACTTCCTACCTCCAATTTTGGTTCCAAAGGACAGAGCAGGTTTCTGGTTGGTACTTGTGGTCGGCGTTGCCGCGGGGGCACTCATGGCTGCTGTTGAAGTCAATGACCCAAACGTTAGACCTGGAACAAGTAGTAGAAGTAAAAAAAAAAATTAATTTTTAGCATAATAAGTACTATGTGATATCCAGGAAATGAACTAGGGCTAACAAGACTGTTACCTACAAAGACTTTCAAGAATGATTCTAACACAGATGAAGATCACCCAGACCCCAGAGCTGATGACTTCCCCTCCAAGGCCTGCACTGTCACCAACAAGAACATCAGAAGTTGCAAACTAAACTCTTCCCAGACCCTGCAGAAGCAGGACAATTCCTGCTGTGAGCGACAAGAACAGTGGTTTGGCACTGTGGGCCAGGCACATCCTGTGGCACGGGCTGTTCACCACCCCAAGCCCTTTCCTGCTGCACCATCCAAACACATTTTAAGAGTGCTTCAAACCCAGCTGGCAGTTCTACACACACTGGCTAAATTATTTTAGCCTCACTCTCCAAAACCAAAGGCTCAAAAGCAACTGTTACTCATCACTGAAGGCCCTGGACAAGCACAGCAGAAAGCCCTCTCATTCCAGTCACCCACTTCATTTCTCACCAGCAGAAGCTGCACAACCTCCACACCAGCCCCAGCTGCCCTCCCTCCTGACAGCACCTGCCATCTCAAGCCCACACACTCACCTGTGGGCTGCCCCCCGAGGCTGAAGGGGGCCGTTGACTGCGTTGTCACCCCTAAGGTGGCCGCGGTGGTGGCAGCAGCTGCTGTTCCAAAGGTGAACCCTGTGGGTGCTGCCTGTGGAGCTGCAGTGCCAAGGGTGGAGGTGGCTGTTCCAGCCTGTGCTGTGGTACCACTGGAAAAAGTAAACCCTCCGGTTGTCCCAGACTGAGCGGTGGTGGCAGTAGAGCCAAACGTGAAGCCAGAAGGAGCTGCCGCTTGGCTTGAGGGCGTGCTGGTTGGTACAGAGCTCCCCAGCCCAAAGCCCCCTGTGATTCCAGGAGCCTGAGTTGCCGTGCTGCCACCAAAGTTTATTTTTGGTGCATTTGCCCTAGAAAAGAAAAGAAGGCAATCTGTTGGAGACATACCCCCAGTCAAGTACCAAATCAGCTTTCTCACAGAACATCTGCTGACAGCAGCAACCACCTTTTAAAAAGATGTGCACTTGAACAGGTTAATGCTTCAGTTTTGACAAAGCCTGTATCACAGCTCCTGTCGCCTGCAACCCTTCCTAAGCCTCTTTATTCTGACTCCCCCCCCAATTACCACACCAGTGCAAGTCAAGTTCCTTAACACCCTTTTCACCTCCTCTACACAGGACTATTTTTTGTCAGCTAACTGCTACTGCCGGGCCCCACGTCAGCTCCCTTCCCACTCCTCCCATCTGGCAAGCCTCAGCAACAGCACTGCTGAAGAAGCCCTTCAAAGCCTACAGCCTCTCATAAGGGCAGGATAGACCTTGCCTTGGCCCTTGCCCAGAGGCAAACTTTTACCATCTCTTCGTGCAAGCATCAATATCCCAATTTCAGGCTGAGGCGTGGAACAGCTTATTCTTAACACCCAGCTGAAAAAGCCAGCACCAACACATAACGGGACCCACCAAACGCGCTTCCCAAAGGGCTATCCTGCAGCAGGAACTCTAAGACACAGAAACAACGGGGCTGCTCACGGAGAAGCCCTCCCAAAGGGCTCTCTCACCCACTCGCCCTCCCCAGCGGCCTCCAAGCCCCCGCCCCGGCAGCGCCCGGGCCCCGACGCCCCTCTCACCCCAGCGGGAACACGCTCGCTGCCGGCGCCGCGGCGGCCGTCGTCGTTGGCGTCCCGAAGCTGAAGCTGCCCGGCTGCGCGGCCGTGCTCGGCGTGCTGAAGGAGAAGAGCCCGGCGGGCTGGCTGCTGGCCGCCGTCTGCGCCGGGGACCCGAAGCTGAAGTTCCCCGAGGCGGCCTGCCGCCACTCCCGGATGACCCGCTCCGATTGGCTACCCGAGGCGAGGCGGGCAGCGGCGGCCCGTCGCTGTGGTGACGGGGACGCGGCCTCTGGCGGCTCCGGGCCGGGCGGCAGGGGCTGGGCTCCCATCCGAGCCTGGTGCGTCCGTGGGTGGGAGGCCTCCCCCGGTGCCCGTAACGCGGCGTGGGAGCCGCTGTGCAGCCCGACAGCGGGGCCGCAGTGGGGTGGAGAACCTGCGTGAAAAGCTCTGCCTGGCTCCTCGCTGCCAGGACTGAGCCAAGGCGTCCAGTGCTGCCCTGGCTGCAGGAGCTGCAAACCCGCCTTGACAGGGCGTCTGCCAGAGCCAAGAGTCACTGTGAGGCTTGAGCTGCGATTGCACCCACTGCCTGAGGGGAGAAAGGGTCTAAGCACAGAGAGGAAAGGTTGACTGTGTTCCGTTATACATGTTTTGATGTCACACACGTAAGAGCTTGGTGTAACTTCACCCTTCCAGAACACACAGCAGGAACGTTGTGCTTTACAGACAGCACAGAACATCATTTTTTTTATTCATCTTTCACTCATTTTGTCCGCACAGGTTATTGGGGAATGCTGATATGGACAGTCTTTCCTCAGGCTCTTCTCTGCAGTTCCTGGCTAAACTGCTTTCTGATACTCCGGAGGAAGAGGATGATGATGAACCTGTGGTGAGTCTTTCATAGGAAATGCTGATTCTTTTACATGTGGTGCCACAGTCTGACCATGTTAACTGAGGAGAAGCAAACCCTTCTTAGACCAGAGCGAGCAAAAAGAGAATGAAAACCGTAGAAGGCTTTGGACTGACTGAAATAGGTAGAAGATACTTTTAGGGTATCAAGCTCTTGAGGGAGACAGTAAGGTACATGCCCCAGGAAAGCAAGGATGCAATTGTGACAACAAAATAGGAGGGAGGTTTAATTTTTCAGCCTGAAGGACGTGAGAACAGGTAGCTGAAAGAGCTTGGAATGCCTTAGACTTCCCCCTGCTTTTCCCTGAAGTCTGCCAGCAATGAAGGCAATTACAGCTAAATGCTTCCTATGAAGGGGAAAAAGCTGCTGCTCGACTTCTGAGAAAAGCCTAAAATATCCAAAGGCGACTGAGGGTACTGATTCTGTGCGTCAGGCGTTGAAGAACTGTAGAGAGAATCGATCACTGCAGTACCACGGATCTGTTGGTGACTGTAGAGTAGGAAAGGGTGAGTAATTGTTCAACAGTGAATGATTAATGAGAGAAATATCTTTCTGTTCTTCTGTATCAGTTCCTCTCAGGACTAGGTGAAATTCACAGCTGTAGGAAAACGTACCTTTTTACCTGCAATATACAAGTTACAAACATGGCAAATTCCTCCAAATTGCTCCTCAACAAAGAGCCAGCTGGCTGTCCCGGCAGTTGGGCACTAGTAGTGGCAACAGTAGCAATATTTGGGATAAAAGGTTGTGTATCCCTTGACATTTCCTTTCAGTAGGTGGTAGATGTGGTCCTTCACGCTCTTCACTCCCATTCAACTGTTAAAGCCCTGCCTTTTCATGCTAGCATTATTGCTGCACATCTTTGGAGTAAACATCCTGATTTTAAAAGAATTTGTTTACATCTTATTAATAAAACGAATGACACTTCAGAGACAGAAATGGAAAATTGCCACAAGAGATGTCAATTAAGTCTGAGTCAGTCTGGGTAAATTGAAATCTTTATTTTGATTTAATTTAATGTTCCGTGCATATGAGGCACTTTTATCAAACCAAGGAATCTTCGTCTTTAGGAGAAATGCCTCACATTGCCCTATTAGCACTAAATTGATTCATAATTAGAGGAAAATGTTGTTGCCTCATATGATCTCGACTGTCAAAAGGAATCCAAAGGCTGTGATGGAGTTTTCACGACTCACCCTTGGTCTCCTGCAATATTTTCACGGCAGGGAAAGCACGGCAATTTTGCCCTAATGCCATGGAAACTAATGCTCAAAAAGCACTTCTGTCTGAATCCTGTGCTTCTGGGAGTGCTGCTTAAACCCAGTGTGTCGAGGCCTCTCGGGGTGACAGTGAGGAAGAGCAAATGTTCAGTGGTTCAGCCATGAAATCTCAGGATAATATTTTTTGGATTCTAGCGGGGATTTGCTTGACCTCAGATAGCACTTTCTATTTATTGACATTATCGTTGTTACTGAGCTGAGCTCTAGGAAAACTGATGGAAGTTCCATTTGCCTCTTTTGCAGCCACGCTCCTCTGTTAGTGCCATGACTCCTGCTAGCATTGGACCAGTAAAGAAAGAGAGCACTGGTAAGGAAGAGTGTTTGTAGGCTTTAGCACTCAGTCCCATGTTAGCAGCCATTAACAGCTGTAGTCAGTTCTTAAGTTACCACTGATGGGGTTTGCTTCAATAAGAGAGTGGTCACTGACCTTTGAGATGGAAACAGTTACTGCATTTTTACAATTGCAGTGTAAAATACTTTTCTCGCTTGAAAGCATAACTGCAAAAATCTACAAAGAGAAGCAGAAAAAGTAACTCAAGAGCACCACAGCCTGCAGTGGTGATGATAAACAGAGTATGGAACACAGCCTGGTCACAGGACTGGGATGAGTATAGCAGGAAAGGAACGGTGGGAACTATAACAAATCAAGTATTTCTGTTTGGGATTCCTATAAAAAGCAGAGATTCTACTGTAAAAACCTTCAAGTTGCAGATTTAGAATCATAGAATCTTTTAAGTTGGAAAAGACCTTTAAGATCGTTGAGTCGAACAATAAACCTGATAATGCCAATTGTCTCTAAGCCCTGTCCCTCAGCATCACCCTTACACATCTCATAAATACCTCCAGTGATGGTGACTCAAACACTTCCCTGGGCAGCCTGTTCCAAAATGCTTGACAACCCTTTTGGTGAAAGGGGTTACACCACTTATTGCCAGCTTAGTAGAAAATATATTTTTGTCCGTGTAGGACAGGCATAAACCATAGTATTCTGCCCGTGAAATTTCATGTGTCTTCAGTACCTCATCTGGACTGTGCTCAGTAATGAATGGGAAGAACTAGATTCCTATCTGAGGAGCAGGTCATTTTGTGAATGACTGTGCTCACTTAAAAATCTCCTGTTGAGGGACTTGGGGAAGGTTAATATTTCATACCTCTCCACTTGACCCATTTTGAAGTGCTAGATATTTTATGCCTGAAAGGAGGATTTCTTTGACATCAAAATTGGGTAAAGGAGATTTAAGGGAAAGGAAAACACCCCCCCCACACACTGCAAATTCTCATTCATACAATACTGAGGTGAAGGAGACTGTAATCATTAACTAGAACACTTTTAATACAAAGATTTTCCTAAAGCTGAGAAAGATGTAAGTTTTCAGCCATAGAGAACAGAGACATTCCAAAATATGACAGTGTGTTTTTCTCATCACTTTCAGATACTTCTCAAGTGGAATCTGAAAACAGGACAACTATTTGGAATACAGAGGAGGTGCCAGAAGGATCTGAATTTGATGATACCTGGGACCCCAGAGAACAGCCAGAGTAAGTGAGCTGAGACTGCCTGCGTGGGCTTCACAGAGCATTCATGGAAATGGCAGTTAAACAGCATCTACTGCATTTGAGAGAAACAGCCATCTGAAAAGCTTGTGTCCTGGAAGGAGAAAGAAAGGATATTTTTGTTGCATGTAACACAACACATGAGGAGTGATTTTAACCTCTCCCTTGAAAATCTTCTGATCTCTAACAGAAACATAGAGTAGGTTTTTCCCATCACAAGACTACTGGCTGTGTCAGATACTTGTATAAAGTGGGATTAAGAGGGGAAGTTGACCAGGAAAACGATTTACTATCTTCAAAAAATTCACTATTTGTGTGTTAAATACCTGTCTTTTCCCCCTGCAACTGAGATTCATTTATGTTTCATGCTCATAAATTCATGAAGTACTCCAACTTATATTTGCATTTCAAAGAATTAAGCTCTTTAGAGAAAAATAGTACTACAGGAAGGTAGGTGACACAAAGGCAGTTTGGAACTTTTAAATCTTGCCATTCAATCTTAGTCTATTGAGGGACAGCCTAAACCCAGGCTTTTCCCTTGCTCCTAGAAAAACAAAACCAAAACTGTTCTTGAAGCAAATACAATCAGGCATGTGAGCTGTAGTTTGTAGGAGTCCAAAAGCCCTCGGGATCAACCCACAAAGCAGCCTGTGCATTTTTAATCACTGTGTTCTGATGCAATATCCTGGAGTGCTAAATGCTGGAGCAGATGGACTGAAGCCCACAAAGCTGCACGTTGCATGCTAGATTGTAGTCCAGAATCCTCATTTTTCTCAGCACCTAAATCATGCCATTAGGTGTTAGATTTCCTGATCTCAAGAGGGGACTGAGACCCACCTGGACTTAGACTCAGCATTTCTGGAAATGATTTGGCATTCACCTAAAACCTCACCATACAGTTGTACATGTGTTCTTGACACTCACCTGTGAGTTACAGAACAAGCTCTCTTTGTGTTGTGGGCACAACAGAAGCTGTTCTTATGCTATTTTTTGACCCATCCCCTCCTTGCTGGGTAAAATGCAGAGCTTCTCCAGCCTCAAGCAATTATGAGCTGTGTTCCAGAGATGAAAAGACAATGTAAGTCTCTGTAACAGATCATCAAATTGAATCAAGGAAGATGGCCCAAAAGGAAAGCAGGTGGCTCAGGAGGTGCATGTAGAGCTATTAGACAGGTTTTCTCACTGACTTGGGAATGATTATATGTGAGTATGAACATTGGGGGTGTGGAAGAGACTTTTCAACAGCTTAGAGAAGCGACTCACTCCACTTTTGTTCAATTTAGTAGGAGTAATGTATGTTCTAAAAGCAATCTTTAGTTTGTATTTCCTCATTCATGAAGTATCAAGTGCAAGGGAGTACATCATTCTCCCTAGTGTAGATGCAAAGCGGTGGAAGATCCATTTTGGTCAAAGACAAAAGAATTACAATCTGATGAAAGTGTGACACTCAGGCTGCGAGAAAATGTTGAACAACAGAACAGAACCCAGGTAATTGGGACAACACACTTTTCAAATCTGTTTCCCAAGAGTTTGTGGTGTTTGACTAGTTGCTAAGTATGACACTCACATGGGATGCATTTCCTGATCCTGCAAAGGCTGGTTAGCGAAGTAGAGGCAGCAAAGTGAGCGCCTTGGAAGGTGGAGTGAATGTTCTTCACCCATCTTCTAGCGAACTCAGTCGTGGCTCTGAACAGAATCCCAGTGCAGATGTGTTGAAGACTTGAAGGGAGACCAAAAGGAGGGGCAAAGCAATGGGGATATTTAAAATCCTCTGAGAAATACACTCTCCTTTAGTCTCTTGCCCCTTTTCCAGGATTATTAGGCAGCTACTTCTCTTTCTCAGGTATCAGATTTTGTTCAAACAGTGTGTGGGAACAGAGGACGTCTTCTTTGGCATGAGCAGGAAAGACCCCTCCACAGCCTGCTGTGAAGATATGGTGGTGAGCTGAGCCTGTGTCTCCCATCCCTTCTTTGTGTTCTTTCTCTGCCCATTTGAGTCTTGCCACCTTCTTGAGGGACTGAATGTAAACACAAAGCTGTATTGACGTCCTGTAGGATTTTCTAGTAGCTCTTCCAGCATTTGTAGATGATGTTTACACTTGCTAACCTGAAGAACTCGTGTATCTCCTCAAGGACTTAGTGTGCTCAAGAGAATCTGTGCAAATGCATATGCCACATACAGATTTGAGGGAAATAAAAAGTAGCTCTGAAATGAAGTTTCATCTTGGACACAATTTTGGAAGGGAGAAGGGCTGGGAAGCAGATGGTTTTCATCTGCCTGCACTTATTAGAAGGTGTGTGAGTTAGCAGAATGCTACAATACTGTCAGTCTTTAAAGTTACAGGTATCAGATCCCATCCCATTATTGTATGATCAAAGATCTCCCTGCTTTTTGAACTTCAGGACAGCTAGAACTGCTGTGCAATTTTTCTAGTAGAAGCAAGCTGTCATTGGAGTACACAAAGCCAGGGGGGTTTGCTGAAGGTAGAATACCTGTCAAGTACAGTGTCAGCTCAGAATTTTGAAGAAAATAGGATATCAATATGCATCACTAAGATACTGAAATCAATGATTATCACTGTCATATTTTCTCTGATACAAATTACCTGCTCAGAATGTTACGTCAAAATATTCATGTAGATGAGATCTTTTACGGCTTGGAGGGCTACGTATCTAATCACAACCTTATCTCTGCCCATCATTTCAGATTAAAATCAAGTTGCCAGAGACAAAGTACTCAGACATCACATTGGATATCCAGGACAAGGTTCTCGACCTTCGAACTCCCCAAAAGTGAGTGAAACACAATTGATAGACGTGCCATTAATATCTTGTTTGAAAGCAGGTTTAACCAAGCATTCAACTGAATGCTGTATGGAAAGCAAAGTTAAAGATGAAGATCAGATTTTTAACTGCACATGAGAAATAGATATAGACAAAACCAACCATAGGTGTGTTTGGACCATAGCTGTATAGTGTGCTGACTTTGAATCTGTAATACTGTTCTAGTAAAAAATAGGTTTAAGGCAGATTTTGGCTACATGAACAGCGAGGCTTCAAGGGCCCCAAATGTCTGTCAGGGGACTGACAGAAGGACTTCTTGGGAGTTTGCTTTCTGAATACTAATTTGTACTACTCCATAACTGAAGATGGTCAAAAATGTGCAGATACTTTTTCAGAAGTTGAAAACCAAATTGTGGGTATATCCAGGCATGGGTGCAGAGATGGAAATGTTACAATGTTAGGGATGGTTTCCCTAAAGAGATTTCCTTTGAGTTCTTTTTTTTATAGGGCTATTTTGAACCTGCAGAGGTAGTGAACTGACAGATACCCTCTCAGACTTCTCAGTCTGCCACCTTCCTCACAGACAAAACCAGGCTGACTTAGTTACCCCCTGCTTGGATTTAAGCCAAAGATGGAACGGGAGTGAAAGAATGTTTGGAAGTGATAGCTCTGAAACTGGAAAATCAGGAGCAATAATTGTTCAGCTAATGAGTTGCAGAGTCTATACATAGTGAAAGAGGTAGCTTAATGCAATACTGCAGATGTAGGAAAACTTTAGTATCCTTTTTCTTTTGCAATTCTGTCTTTTTGGTGACTCAGACCTGCCGTTATTTTCTTAGTATCCAGCTGTCTCTAGTCACAAGCCTTGCAAATAAAAAGTTTGCCGTAAATCTAATGGTTGCTTGGGTACCGCCTGAGCCAGTGCTGCTTTCACAAACACAAGTCTTCTCAGTATGAAAGAAACAAGATTTAAAGTTCTACATACTAAAAAACACTGTACTCTCACAGATGTGTAGGAGGGCTCAAAGGAACCGTTTCCAACTCTGTAGTCCTGGGGCTGATTCTAAGCCAAGCTGATTTTAAGGACTTCTCCAAATTATGGCAAGTGGTTGCCTTCAGTTGGTGTCGTACAAAGGTGTTTTGACTGTACCTCTTTCAGCTGTGGCTCCTGCAAGACAGCTGGAAAGGTTTGAAAAAGAACCACCGTGATTTAAACCCCAATTTAAAGTACCCCTATCCATGCTACCATGTTGTCTTGTTAGGCTTTATGGAGTTTGGCTGGGCAGATGTTCTGAATCTAAAGTGTCCTTGATTCTGTTTGCACTGTCAACAGAGTGGAGGTCCAGCGCTGGCCCAGCATTCATATTGTTAATATAGGAGCCTGGGATAAGAGGGGAAAGAGTCCAGACTCTGCATGAGTAAGTGAGTTTGGACTGTTGTCAGCGAGAAGAGTTGAATGACTCCTGACCGAAACATCCTGGTGAGGAGACAAACTGCAAGGCTTGTCAGCCATTCCAGGAAAAGCTGTATGTCTAACATAACGAGGGACTGTGGAATAGTTCCTGAGTCCGAGATCCAGCCTTTCTTTGTGTGTTATGCTCCTAAGCCACAGGCAGGGGATCACTGAATTTAATCTTTGCTGTAGGTTAAAATCCGGCAATTTCAAACCCTAAGTCCGTTCTCATACCTAAACTGTGATTTGCAGCGTAGACATATCATTTATGAAACTGGACTAGCCAGAATCTCTAATCAGGCTGCACCACTTATTTCTTTTTACTGGGGAAGACAAACTCCTGAAGTCGCTTTCAGGCTTTAGGCATTATTCAGATTTTTACCACCAGGAGACCATTATCAATGCAGCTTCTCTTTCCTCTGCATTTAGAATGCAGCACTGTGCAAAAGCCAGAACAGCGGAGAGATCCCACAATCCATCATTGGAACTGTTGTCATAGCCACAGCCAAAAGAAAAGAATAGTGTTGGAAATATTTCAGGGCCTGTGTAGCTGTGCTCCAGGTATTGCAGGAACCCCATAACTTTTTGTGAGGAAGGAGATACACTGAAAGAACATTGCTGGGTGTACTGATTGGCAGATTGCAAGAGTAACTCACAATGCCATTTCAATTCCCCACCCTGTCTGAGACATCAAAATTCACTGTGTCTTCTTTTCCAGGAAGCTGCTGCTGCACCTCCCCTACCCTGTAGACAGCAAGAATGGTAAAGCTCGTTTTCTCTCTGAAGAGGAGACCTTGGAAGTCACCTTGAGAGTATCAAGGATGTTTGATTTCATAAATTTTCTCTGATGGATAAAGAAATGGAGAAAGTTTGCAAAAAATAATCTCTTAGCTTGAAGTCTTCTTGAAACCTAACTGGTCATGAAATAGACTGTTTCCCTTGAACAGTCCACGGGGAATATCCCTGGAAAAATTGCATGAGTCAGTAGGAACGTAGCACTGAAGGTAGAAGCTGAGGCTGTTCTCCTCTTGCGCTGCTCTGGTTCATGTTCTGCTTCCTTTAGCCTGGTGCAGGGTCTGTGAATGGGAAAACCAGAGAAAATCTTTTTGTGTTTGTGGCTGATGAGTAGCACAATGAGGCTCTGGCTGATGAGTTTGGTGCTTGTGGTGCATATTCTTGCTTGGCCTCCAATGCTGGGACTGGGGTCTGTTCAGAATCTCCTCTTGGCTACTTCATGAGAAGATCAAAGCTCTCAGGGATCCATATCCACATCTAAGGCTCCTTTACACTGGCAGAACAAGGTAACCAGCTGTAGTTGGATTGTTGAACAGCTCAGCTCTTTTGAACAATTTTTGACAATGTATGGTTTAGTGTCATCTATTCACCCGCTGTCCCTCCAGCTATTTTTCTGATCTTTCTTGATTAATAAAAGAATGTGTTCTAATGAACAGTCCCAGTTACCTTTCACTCTGCCTTCTCTATATTATGTCCCAAGAGACGTCCTAAAAGTAAGATAAGAGGAACTTTGCATAACAAAGCATCACTTAGAGGGCTGAAATTCTGCAAAAGCACTTGGTTGGCCTTCAGGTCCAATCTAAAGCTATGGAGATGGGTAACCAAAAGGTTTCTGTTACTAGCTGCTGGGCAAATATATTCATTTAACATGTGCAGGAAACAAAGGTATTTGCTCAATGATCAAAGAGGAGAGGACTAGCAGGGCCTTGCACGTTGATGGACTGTAGGTACACTTAACCAAAAGCGTGTAAGCACTTTAGAAACAAAATGTCTTGAGTCCTGCCTTCTTCTGGTGTAGAAGAAGAGGAAAATAATTGACAAGAAGGTACAGACAGTACCCATGCAGCTGAATTTGTGGCAGGCTGTAAGGAGAAGATGAGTTCTCCGTGATAGATTGAAGACACTGACAGTGAGTTTCCAGGTGTATTTTTTTGTTTTGTCAAGAATTTTCAGAATTCCCAGTTTGTTTGTTATATACTGCGTTTTAACTCTAGGACAAATGAAACTGGTGTCTGGACATTTCAACCACTTCCCTTAAAAATGTACTCATTGCTTGGGTCAGAATAATCCTACCCAACCTCTGCTTTAGTGTTAATGTACTGGAAAGCAGCTATCTGGGTTATGATTCATCACGAGCTATCAAATATGCTGATAACACTGAGGGGCTACACCAATTTGTATTTGCTTAAGTTTCCATAAATTACATTTGAATGTCTCTTATTCCTGCTCTACAAAGCTGTGGTGGAGGGGAACAATGCAGATGTCTGAAAAGGCTGACATCATTCCTCCTGACTCAGTTTGTACTGCCTGTGGTTGCCAAGAAGGCTGTTTCTTGGAAAAATGTTGTTTTTGTGGCCCCTAGACAATGTGCTGCTTCATCTTTGCATTTCTTATGCAGATTATGAGAGAAGGGGAAGATTGACTTGTATTTATACACGTGTGAAAATAGCATTTGCCCTAATTCATTCAGTAAATCCACAGCAGAGCAGAGTATAACTCTTCTGAGCCCCATCCCAGCGCTCCAGCCACAAGGTACTGTTGCCTTTATAATTGGCAGTAGTAACTCACTAAGCCTTAAATCATCAAGCTCTGCTTAATTTAATGTCAATGTTTGATACTGAAAACAAGGATGAGTTTGGCTCGTTGTGCCTCTCTCCAGTGTTTCGGTTTCCTGTGGAAATGAGCATATGCCACACTGGTATCCGTGTCCTATTTTCTCCCCAAATATTTTTTAACCTGGGGGCATTTTTTATACATTCAAGAGACAAAAATCTGAGGTAAGTGTAGGAAAGTTGGCTGCTGAACAGAAAAGGGAAATAAGAGTTAGTACTGCTGAAAGGGGGGAGTTCTAGTGTGATTTCTGTACCTGCTGCCCAGTCGTTCCGTACGCCCGGACTCCGGGCCGCAGTGGGTCATCCCACCGCTCCGTGGGGGGAAGCTGGGACATGGCAGGGTAGGGAAGGAACTGCAGGGAAAGGGGGAAGCTGAAATTCACAGCATTTAGGTATGTGAATACAGGGGGCAAATTCATAGGAAGCCAGGCTTTGTATTTTCCACTGCTCAAAAGGACAAACTACTGCTGTTCTCAACAGAGGAGAAACTTTGGTCCTGGGGTGGGCAATTTGCTGTTCTGATCAGGTCCGTTGCCTGAATGCACCATCACCTCCTGGAGATCTTCTCACATTCTTCCTTTCTTCCTATCAGGAGAGAGAGGTTGCCTTAGGCAAAAGGTTGGCGGTTTTTTCCCCTATAGATCATCCCAAGAGGAAGGTGGTCAAAAGGACACGGAGGCTGCCAAGCTTCCCAGAAACCCGGGGGCTACTGCCAGCTACAAGAGTTAACTTTTTTTGCGAGGGCTTGAAGGCAGTTTTGCTTTGCTGAACTAGCGCTGCCAGAAATCCTTTTGAAGGGGATACAAAACCCCCTTTGCCTCTGAACATCAAAGCTGTTGCCTAAGTACCACTCCAACACCTGCAGGCATCTTAATTAATCAAAATTATGAGCCCAGTTAAACAACCCAGCCATTAAGCCCCAGCCATTAAGCATCATCAAGCTTTATTTGGTTCCCTAAGAAACATCTTGATTAAATGTATTGCAGTTAAGTAGAGGGTACTGTAGCTGTGGAAATGAGATGGAGGCTGTTTGTGGTAGTGTCCCAATAAACTGCAGGTTGTCATCTGGCCTCCTTCATGCATCCTGTCCTCCAGTTGTGGTGGCAGAGCCCCTCTTCCCGTTTACACTTGTTCCTCTTTTCTCTCAGAACTATTGTGTTGTGTGACACAGCCCCGCTCGCTCCGGGTGTTTCACCTCCCTTCACATTCCCCTTTGTCCACATACTGACCTTCTGAGGCAAAGACACTTTCCTCATTCTACAGCCTGAGAAAGAGAAAACCTGGAAGAGTTGCTCCATATAAACACCTGAGACAAAGCAAGAACTTAAATTTAGGTTTTTTTTTTTCCCTTAAATCCACGGTCTGGCTTCGGTGCTGCTCTCATTCCCATTTCCTCCAGGCCTGTTGTTGGTATCATCATATACCCCTTGTATCTGTTTTAAAAGGAAGACTGCTTCATTTTTCTGCTGTTCAGATTAAAGTTTGTATTCAAAGTTTGGATGTATTTCTTTCATTTTATGAAACACTGCTTTATCGGTATCTGCTTCCCTCCAGATAAAGTTTTATCTCAAATAACTAAGCTGTGTCTCTGTGTACGGGAAGATCTCTCCCCTACAGAGTAAGTGAGGAGAGAAGACTGATCGTGCTTTTGTCTTTCTCATCTAACCTTGAGCCCTGGGATGTGTGAGACTAGACCCCCATGGGCAAAACAGAGCTGTGCAGCATCCCTTGCAGGCTGTGGTGCTCATTGACACTCTGAGGAGCCCCAATACACAAAGGAAGCTCTCAGTGAAGTAACCTGTACCCCAAAGCCTCCCAGATGTTCTCATTCAGGTGGAGGTGACTGCTTTTAGCAGTATCTACTCTGGATGTTTGGCAGCTTGGGCTACTGGAGATACAGCAAAACAGACTGATGGGCACGCACCAGTGCCAGGGCAAGCAGGCAGTGCCTCGACCACGTCCAGCAGGCTCACTGAGCACATAGCATAGAGTCATAGGGTCATAGAATCATAGGATGATAGAATCATAGGATCACAGAATGGTTTGGGTTGGAAGGGACCTTAAAGATCATCCAGTTCCAACCCCCCTGCCCTGGGCAAGGGACACCTCCCACCAGACCAGGTTGCTCAAAGCCCCATCAAGCCTGGTCTTGAACACCTCCAGGGATGTGGCAGCCACAACTATAAATATCCATGTGTACCTCCTTATGCTGGAGCAGGTTCCTCTGAGCCTGCTGGTGTAGGCAGACCTTCACCCTCTCCTCTGCAGCACCCACGGACCCCCTTCAAGAGCTGCTGCCACAGAGAGTCAGTCGCTGCTGTCTGCTTGTGGTCTCAGCTCCAGGGAAGGTGCCTGGAACCTGCTGGGAGTCGGGTTATTTCTTTCCTATAATCTTCACAAACAGGAGGCATTTTTTCTCTTTGTATCTATTTGCTCACTTTGTCTTCTCCTTCGGGTAGATTTTACTTTCAGATTGTGATGCAGAACAGCCAGTCCCCATTTTTTCCTTTAGCAAGGCCTGAAAAGTTTATTTCTGCTTCCCAGTGTGTCTCTCTGAGACCCAGATGAGTACTTAAAGAAGTTTTTGAGGTCCAGTCCAGGGCAACAGTGACACAGACAACACAGGATTGTGCCTTTGATTTTGGAGTATTTCTCTCAGTCCATTGAAATCTTTGACCACTTTGGGCTTACTCAGCTCAAGGTCTCCTTTTCATCTCTTTTCCCTGCCTTCACTCAGTCATTTCTGAAGAGATCATAGGAAGTTGCAGGCATGGTAGCAGATACTGTCCACCTACAATCCTTAGAGACCATCTCTCTCTAATTGTGAGCTTCCTTTGTGGATCCCAGCAGCCTGGCAGCTCAATTCTGATGCTCATCAGCATTTTTTTTCAATCTGCACCATTTTAACTTGGTGGTATCACAACCCAGCAAAGACTGCCAAGGCAGCTAGGTTGTGTTTGGCAATCTATCTCCTGCAGCTGCTCAGCAGAGAAGAAAAGAGCCATCGACCTCTTCTGGAAAATTCTATTTGTGTTGGAAAGCTGCATAAAAAGGGAAGAGGATAGGAATGGAGATGGACACAGCTGATTTTGTTAACTCATGAGGAGATGACGTGGGCAAGTCAGACATTTCCCAGAGAGCAGCAGACAGGAACTGTAGCAGATGTAAGCATCAACGCATGAGTTTAACAAAGCTGTGAGCTTTGGGTGGGTTCCACCCCTCACACATCCCCAGATGAGACCCCCATGGTGTGCTCTGGCTGGGGACCCAGGTGATGGGATCTCCTGACCAATAACTCTCTTCCTGGGGGTCTCAGATTGCTGTAGCCATATCCATGAAGCAGAGCCTTGGGTGGCACTGAAACAAGCTGGCAAGTATACGGAGGGGAACGAGGGGTTGACTTCCCCTAGGTTAGTCAGCTCTACCCTTGTCTCACCTGAGCTGATCCCACCCACCTGGGAGCCAGAGGGCTCCACCCAGGAGGAGATAAATGGTCTCAGAGCAGACCTAGGAGAAGCTAAACAAGCAGGGGAACTTTCAGGGGTGGTGTTTGCTATGCTCATGATGTTCCTGGGGTGGAGAGGAGGAAAATTTGCATGACTACTGTACAAGAAGGAGTAAAATAGCTGGAAGATGTGTGATTTGTCTTGGCTTTGGGACTATCTGTGCTGTACCCAGGAGGTTCAAGAGGCAATTGGCCAACGGCTGGATGTGGGAGGCTCTGACAAGGTGAGAAATGTTTCTGGTGGTGTTCTGAGTCACGGGCACTACACAAACACTGGACTGTCGTGTGATTTGTC